TGCCCTATAAACATTCCCAATTAAGCAAATATCAGCAAGGTTAATAATGGCAGATAGTACTCTATATAATAGTGAGGGGACAAACATCATGATTTGAGTATATGTGCCAAAGAATCAACAAATCACAGAATAACGAAACTTACCAAACTGTGAAAACGTGTCTCTAGGAAAAAAGTGCTAACTGTGTCTACCTCTATTGTCAAAGGGACAGGAAATTTGTACTAAAGAAGCTTGGAAACTCATCTGACAAGTTGTCAAGACAAACTGAGTAAAGAAAACCTCCCAAACACATAGACGAAAGTATAAGAATTCAATGTCTATAAGAGTCAAATGACTAAGGTCAACACACACAAGGATAAACTGGTCTTGATTACTTAAAACAAATCCTTCTGAATGTTTGTCATTTGTAAGATTTTTTTTTTTTTTTAAGATTTATTTATTTGTGTATACAGAACAACTGGGGTACAGGCCAGAGGCTCAGGGGCAGTGAGAGGCTTCACCAGAGACAGAGTGGGGAACAGAACAGGCAGATCGATGAAGCACACTGCTGAGGGGAGCAGCAGGAGGGTCAGGAGAGGTCTGCTACATCATGTGGTCACCTCCGGGGCAGGCGGGAATCGAACTCATGCGGAAGCGCCTTCAGATTCTCAGTGCTGTGCTTTAACCCGCTGCGCCACCAGGGAGGGCCCATTTGTAAGATTTTTTAATATCAAAATTTTTACATTTCAAAGGCTGCTTAACTCTTATGAATCTTGAATTTAGTATTTCTCATGATCACTAACTTGCAGTGTTTTTAAAAAATTATGTCCTGTGTTTTATCATTTAAATCTTCTAAATTTTCTAAGCTCTAGAAAATGTTTCATGGTTATTATTTATTCACCTGTGCTTTCTTCAAATCTAAGGTTTCAAATGAAATTTTATTTTAATAAAAAATGTTCATTCCAATGTTATTTTATTTAAGAATAGACTCTTAAAGACTGAATAGAGTCAAACACAAAAGAATGTTAGCTATTAAGTCTGCCATTAAATGAACTGGTTTTAAATATATAATGATCACTTACTCATTTTTTGACTCTTTTGCAAAGTATCCTATGCTGTTTTCTAGTTATTGCATCACTTTATGAAACAGAAAATAATACTGTATATTAAACAAGTAATTTCATATATAGCAATTCACAGTGAGGATCCAAGTTACTCACTCTCTCTAACTTCTCCAAATTAAGATTGTCTACAGGGCCCTCCCTGGTGGCGCAATGGGTTAGGACGCAGCACTGCAAGCTGACCGAGCAGCCTCAGTGTGAGTTTGATCTCCAGCCCTGGAGGTGATCCACATGGCATGGCAGACCTCTCCTGATGTGCCCGTTGCTCCCCTCAACAGTATACTTTGTTAATCTTCCTGTTCTACTCCCCACTCTGTTTCTGGTGAAGCCTCTCACTGCCCCTGTACCTCTGGCTTATACCCCAATTCTGTATGAATAAATAAATAAATTTAAAAAAATTACTATCTACAGAGACACTTTAGAAAGTGAATATCTTTATTATATTTCATATTGGTACTTTTTTTTTAAAGATTTATTTATTTTATTCATACAGAACTGGGATACAGGCCAGAGATGCGGAGGGTGAGAGGATTCACCAGGGACAGAGTGGGGAGCAGAACAGGCAGATCAACGAAGTACACTGCTGAGGGGAGCAGTGGGCGGGTCAGGAGGGGTCTGCCACACCATGTGGTCACCTCCAGGGTAGGCGGGGATTGAACTCATGCGGAAGTGGTTCCAGCTTCTTTATGCAGTGCTTTAATCCGCTGCACCACCAGGGAGGGCCCATATTGGTACATTTTTATATTGTTCTAATTAGCTTAAGAAGATATTGTAGAGGAGGTTAAGATAGAGCTTATTTTAATTATAGGAAGAAAGAACTGGAATGCTCAGACATGGAGAAAAGGTTAGGAAGGGACTTGAGAAAGGGCATGGGAATAACAGAGAACTCAGTAGTGCTGGGAACGTTTTCTGGAGAAATAAGTTTCAAAATTGAGGTAGATGCGCTTATATAAACTAACACTAGAGCACAAATATATAAAATCAAGACCATTCTAAAATTTTTAGGATATAAGATTGCAGTGCCAAAACAGGAGAATTTTGATACTAGTCAACAGTCTTGAGATAGTCTCCTCAAGTGTTGAGATATTAACAGGTAGGAACAGATAATACTAATCTCTTGATAGGAAGTCAGGCATTGTGGCTGCTATGGCACGTCACAACATTCAGGAAGCTGCCTGGAGTAACTTCCTATTCATTTCAGTCTTTATTTAACAATACTGAAGCTACTGTAAGAGTAAAATTAGAGAAAAAATTATTCAGCTATCATAGTGCACTGAAAGAATAAATGAATTCCATGAATTTTAACATAAGTATAACACTGATCTTAAATTAGCCTCTCAAAAGTCCGCATAAGGCTTTACCACTTTTTGTTATTTTTAGCGTGATAAAAACACTTTTAAAAAACCCACAACAATTTGCCAGGACTTAATGAATAAGTAGCTAAATTCGAAGTACAATAATCTCTATGTAAATTTATTTACATAATCTCTATGTAAAATTTATTTCATGAGTAATTAGTTGCTTTGTTCTGAACATTTAATATAACTCAGTTCTCTGTCCAGAATTTTCTGTATGTAGAAAGGAATTGCTCTCAATAAAGAAAATTATGAATACTTTTAAATAAGAAAAGCTATTAGACCCACTAAAGTTTTATCAGGAGTTTCATTGTTAGCTTACTGTATTTAACTTCAGAAGTTCTTTTACTTTTACTTACTTATGAGTCAGTCAAGAGTCATTCCTAATAAAACATACACTTCCCTGATGGCAATGTGAATTTAACACTTAAGATTTAATGTTCTGATTGCATTTCACTTATGAATAGTCCAAATTTAATTTCTTAAAACCCTAGACAAGAAAAAAAGGCAATTTAAGTAAGTTAATGATTAGGATAACACCTTTTTCAAAGTAACCAACTAACACTGAGCCATTAAAACAATTTTCCCCCTAAAGTTTAATATTACTTTGAGTGGATACTTCAACCTTCAACATGGTTTTGGAGGTACTTAAAAAAAACCTTTTGGTGGTAATGTTAAAAGTAAAGATTAATTTCCAATTATTATGAGGTGACAGTGCTAATTCTTTGGAAATGATGATACTAATAGAATGGCGTCTTGTTATATCATCTTCTTCAAAAGCAGTGATTGGCTTACCTATAATATTTCCAAGCTGTTACAATTACTTAGTTTCCTCTGTATGCTGCAGTTTTATAAGCTACCCAAAAATTTTGCAAGGGCAGTAGTTATTGTTCTGCTTCTAAAAAATTATGACCAAGAAACCACACATACTCAACTCTAAGTACAAATAATGAGTATGTAATTTTTATATTAAATCAGTTCTCACAATTTAAGACTAAGGATACAAAGGAGAACAAAGAAAGGTTAGATGGTATGTGGAGTCAAGTTAAATTATACTAAAATGTTTATGAAAAGGAGACTCTTCATTAAAGTAATGCTACTAGCATTAGGAAGCATGGAACTCTGTTTACTAGATCTTAAGTCTGGCTATGAAAGCTGAGAATTAATGACTTTATGTAGGAATTACCTCTTGAGTTTAAAGTTGACAAGTTATCTAGGAAAGTGGAATATTGTGAAGGCAATTACTATTATGACATGCTATCATTGCATAAAATTAAACAGTAATTACATACTTAATAGATTTCTTGGCTATCGAGAAATAGTTCTATGTATTTTTTACTTTGTTAACACAGTATTAATTAAGACAGTCACATACTTATTATGACATTATAATGCATGAATCATATAAAAATATCCAACTGCTGTATAATAATTTTACCAAATTAGTCTTAAAAGTTTTAAAGAATTATGTATCATTTCCTCTTCAACTCAAGTTCTGTCTTTCCTAAGTAAATGACAGCAATTAGCTAACATGCATAAATCTTTTATAGTCAGTTTTATATTTAGAAAACAATAATGCTTTTAGCTTTGTTTTATTTTGCAGGTAAGGAAAAAGTCACAATGTTCCAAACAGCCTGACTCCTAAAGCCCAGTGTTGGATAGCTATTTCAGTCTCAACCTTCAATTTTTTCCCCAATGTTTCCACCACTTTTCCATGTAATCTTCATTTCCAACAAGGTTTATGCTTTTCATTATGCAATTTAATACACCAAATAATTCTAATAACAACATAGTAATTTTATCACGTGCTTCAAAACCTCTGCTTCCAAAATTGATTCATCCAGAAGACCTTTTTTAACTTCAAGGACTCCAAAATTGCAGTTTGTACCTCTGTCAACTTAAATCATCCAAGAAAAGTCATTCTTTTGTTTTTTACTAGTGCCTACATATGCAGGCTATTTTCTTAACTGAAACCCTAAAAATATGATCTGAGCAACTTTTTCTAACTTACAAGTTTTGTAAGTATCTAACTTGATCTAGTGTCCACTGTCAGCCCCGTGCTAGGGCAATAAACTATACAATCAACTGAGGAACAGAAGCTGAGAACATCTTAATGGATATATTTCTTAGGAGTTTTTCTACAGAATTAAATAAACTGATGTACTAATTATTTGCCTTATTCAAATTGAATATACAAGATGTATTTTAGGAAGAAAATATAGGACATTCCCACAAACAGCCCAAACACAAATTGCATAGGTGATTATAAAAAGCGAAAACATTGCATTCTGATGGATTAAGCTTTCCCACGTTGGGCATATTAATCTTGGTATAGAACTTGAGGTAGAAGCAGTGAATCAATACTTTGACATGAATTACTGTGAACTGACTCCAAATAAATTTTAAAAGTTAACATAAATGTACTGTGGGCCCAATATATTCATCAGAACTTTAAGTCAGAATATAAATGACAACATTTTAAAACAAATAATATATGAGGCTTACTATTTTTTATTTCATTCCAGTTATACTCATGAGCACTTACTTGATATAGAAGTTCTTTTTGAGGCAAAGGAGGGGATTGTTCTTGGTACATAGGAGATGGTTTATGTGTGGGTGGAAGGTCAATCCTGCATTCAAATGGAAAAAAAAAAAAAGATGTTAGTGCCACATTTAGCAAAAGAAAAAAAGCTCATTTCCCTTAAGCTTTATGGATATTTTTCTCAGACTAGTAGCTTTATTATTAGCCTAATATGTTTAATTTGGCTTTTATATTTCAAGTAAGTGATTATAAATGGAAAAATAACTAAGATGATTTCAAAGTTTAAATGTTTATAAACAATCAAACTGACTTATATTTAAGGAAGCAGCTCAGATAGGAAGCATTCTTTTTAATGATGCAAATAACCTAGTACATGATCCATTTACTTAAGCATTGCACATTTTTATATCTAACTACACCTACTAACAATTTAAAGTCATTCTTTTTTCATCAGTATTGTGAGGTAAGTAGGAAAAGTACTATTCACACCCCAAAGATGAAGCAATGAACTGCTGATGGAATTAAGTGAGTTGGGATGTACATCATTAGATACTATAGCAAAATTCATTTTCTGCTTCATAAGTCTATCTTGATGATTTGGCCAAAAACACTGCTTTCTCTTTAAATTGAAAACAAATACACATTTTGTAATTTTCCAAAACTAAAATTCCAAAAGGAAAAATTTTAAAACTCAATTATTTCACTACTTTTGGCAGTCTAAGTTAAATTATAGCTACATAAAGCAGGCATGTACAATCTGAAGAAGCAATTAAACTTCTAATGTATGTGTATACATCTTTCAACTATTTTCACCAAAGGCCTGCATTTTTATTCAGAAGGCAGTATAACAAAAATTGTCGTATGTTGCTATTTGGAAAGTATCTACTATGCTGTAAGTGAGAAGAGTTATCTTATGTATTTGTCTCTTTTCCCCCTTGACACTGTGTATTCCCAGTATCCCGTTTGAGATATTCAAATAAAACTGTAATCTCATTAAAATTGAACAATCCTTACTTCCACCCCACAGACATTTTATAGTATCTGTAAAATGCAGACATAAATATGACTCAGAGTGAATTTTCATAATTGAATGCAGGCAAAGAAGTTACCTACACTTTGTCAAGATAGGATGGTCTCTTTTTTCGGGGACTCAGCAGCACAGTCACAAAGATTGCAATGATGAAAAGGGCAAGGACAGCTCCAATAATAGCTCCAGCTACAGCGATGGAAGAGGTCTGCTTAAATGGAACATCTGTGAGGTACAAAAAATTAGGCTTTTTAAACAATTTTTACAAAAGTTCTTGAATTTGCATAGCATAGCCCAATTTCCAAATGTGTAAGGACTATTTGAAGTATGTTAATCAATGGCAAACTTAAGAGGATCATATATTTGATTCAGTACTTTTAATAGTATTATGCTAACACCCTTATTTCCTTGTAAGATATCACCTTATTTGCTCCAGATTTGCTTTGTTCAAGTTATGAAAAGAATTGTTCAGTCAATACCAAGTGAATCTATTCTCTATGGGAAAAAAAAGTGTCTGGAAGAGAGAAAATAGAGGAAAGGATAAAGAATATTTTACTCTAAAATATAAAAAAAAATTCAGTATTCTTTAATAGTTAACCAACAACATAGACAGCTATCATTTTATTCTATTAAAATGCAAAATAGGCCCTCCCTGGTGGCGCAGGGGGTTAAAGCACAGCATTAGGAGGCTAGAGCCACTTCTGCATGGGTTTAATTCCCGCCTGCCCCTGAGGTGACCACATGGCAGGGCAGACCTCTCCTGGCCCGCCTGCTGCTCCCTTCAGCAATGTACTTCGTCGATCTGCCTGTTCTGCTCCCCGCTCTGTCTCTGGTGAGGCCTCTCGCAGCCCCTGAGCCTCTGGCCTATACCCCAGTTCTGTATGTACAAATAAATAAATCTTTAAAATAAATAAATACAATGCAAAATAAATTCTATTAATCAAAAACCTTGAAGTAGCAAAACAAAGTACCCAGACTTAGTGAGAAAAAAATATGTAAAATCTTAAGTTTTCTAAAAAATATTAAACTTATAATTTCCACCAATTAGTACATATTTAATACAAAGCATGTATGACTACTAAAAAATCAAAAGGAATTCTTCCTTATCTTCTGGCTATAGACATCATTTTTCATTTCTGAATACTAATTTCTCTTTCCACTTGGCATCACACATTTAATAAAGCAGGATTTTAAACTCATATTTTGCAGTTAGCATTTTGTAATTCAGAAAAAATGGTTACCATATTTCAAGATCCCTTCAAGTACAAGAACTTACTAAAACTATTATAAATTGTTTCAAATACAAGTGTAATATGACAAAACTATCAATCCCATGTGTAGTTCTTTGACAATTTCCAACCACATAAAACCCAGTAACTATCTCTTGCAGGGTAACTAGTAAGTTACAAAGTGTCTTCATAGATTTATCATAGCTGTATAAGATAACATTCTACATATTAAGAAACAGTGGTTTATAGTTAAATGTCCTACCCATGGTCAAGAGTCTTAAGAGGCTAAATTAGAAACCTCCACCCGTACACTCCTGATGGGAATGTTTTTTGCAGGCTCTAATTGTAGACATACTCCTTTTGATATTCCTATTTGGTAAAAAGTAGTTTTCACTTAAAGTGACATTCATATACACTTAAATAACTGCAATTATTTAGGTATCCAGATATGGCATATTTAAATGGGCTTAAAACATTGACAGTTATGAAATGTTTCACCTACTTATCATTAATGTTTTCATATCAATATACATTTAGAAGTGTTTTTCAGCTATTTTTATCTAAATGTTGAATAATATGGTATTTTAGATTGCTTAAAGTTTTGACTCTCTTTCCAATTGTAAAACTTCCTTTAGCAAACCACCTGAATTTGTGTCACTCTGTTAGACTCCTAGCAGACAAAAAACCTTTCAGCAAGTAGTGCAAGTAGCCAACTACCAAAAACCGTTCAGTGAAAAGAACCTAAATATAGTAAAATAAACAACTGACCCAGTCATTCAGAATGTTATCTTTACTTGCTAAACATGTCTGGTTTCTTGTCGACATTATTGCTCATTTCTCTAATACTTTCTATCTCCACGTGAATACCTATGTGAAAGATTGAAGCCTAGTCAATTACTCTGTTCTGAGAAATGTGAAAATGTTATTTGGGATGACTTAGAGGTAATCTACTGTAAACTCACTTTTCCCACCCCATAAAATATAGCATTCTATTCAGTCTTTAATAATACAAAATGAAGCATATTATAATTTATGTGACCAAGGATATTCGGCCAAGGTCATATACTTCATCAGTAGCACAGTAATTCCTGATGTCCAGTATGCTACTAGCTATTCTAATGAAAATTTCTCTTTTGCTAAGGGTTTAAATGACCCTATCATTTTTGTCCCAGACAGTATTTGGAGTATTTTGGTAACAGTATTTTTAGTAGTAATACTTTTTAAAAATTTTCAAAAACTCAGGTTACTCTGAGTTAAATTCTCAATACAATAATCATTACTAATTCATCAAATCTTTCTTCTAAGACTCATTTACTCTTGGTACTGCTTTGTATGTAATAAAACATCAGACATTTGTCTTCCAATAATTCCCAACTCTGAATATTTACAATTTTTAATACTTTGAGTTCTTAACCTAAATAAAACTTTTTAAGCATTTAAACTATAGCTACATATCTGTCCCACTTGTGTTATAATTTCTAGCTCTAGGACTCGAGTATCACCTCGCCTGTATATATGCCATACTTTCTTCTTAGTCTAGTCATTTTTATTTTATTGCTTCAGTTTACTCTTTATTCATATTCTTCCTTTTCTTTTTGCATATCTCTTTGTAGTATCAAAACAGGCTAGTAGAAGAAATGTCCCACTATGAATCCATTTACCAATTAGTTTACATAGGTAAATTGTTATATGCACAAATGGTAGATATTCACTGCCTTTTCTATTTTTCTACTGAAAAAAAAAAGCAGCTCTATTAAGGGTATTACTATTTTAAGAGCATTAATGGGTGATGAACACTAGTGTTAAATGCAAAGAACTGAATTCTTGTATTCAAGTTAAAGAATTCTGATGAACTTTGAGAATTTATAACCAACACTGCTTCCCCTTACTGCCCACATAAACACAAATATACTATATACATAAATACTACCTATAAGCTCTATATGCCAACAAAATCACTAGTGAAAAAGTTTATTAAATGGCATTTTTAAACATTAAGCTAGCTTACTATGACTGACATGAAACATTACTATCACCTATGATGCTCTACTAAAACCAAAAATATGCTTGCAAGCAGGAAAAAAATAACCAGTGTTCAAATATTTAAAGAACTGACCATATACTTCTTGTTATCAAGCAATAATACTTACTCACATACATTGGAAAATCAACACACAAAGCAGAAAAATAGCATTCCTCAACACAACAAAAGCATACTATCCATAATTAAAGATAACTATGTGTTTTTTTAGGGAAAATATTCACCAATTACAAACCATACTAAAAAATATTTTTACTTCTTTTTGAAAGAATCACATACATAAATATTAAACATAGCAAATTCAAAGCTTGTCTTTATTATTCTGAAATAAGTGAATGCTATTCAAACACCTAATTTACAAATGAAACCAAGGCATGACAAATTTCTTTAAACCATGAGCGATTTGTTGGCAGGTGTACTATAGCAGAGATACTTGGGGGTGGGTATCCTGTAATTCCAAAAGACCAACATTACTGCAATTAAAAATTAGAAAAAAAAAAATGCTGCTCCACTCACTAATTTATAGCAATTTGCTAGAACCATTTAAAATACATCCCTTTTCACATTTAGAAAGTTCTGAGTTTTTATAACCACCCAAACATTTCTCATTACTTTTTCAATAAAAATCCTCTATCCTTCATCCAAAACAAATTACCAATAGTAACTTAACATGTGTGAGGCCTTATGCCAACCAAGTGCAACTGACAGATCCAGTCGTCATCCTCACAACACAGAGCAAAATATCCAAAGTGGACTCAGAATACATAAATACACTTTCCCAATAAAATTTAGAAAGATTATATCTAGAAAAGGATGATTTAATAAAAACAAATGTACCAATAAAAATAATATGGATTGCACTGGTAATCTTTTGGGTCAGTTTATGACTGGGTTATTCACCAGTCATACTGGGTACCCACAATGTTATGGGGAAATTAGAGTGGGTTAGCTCCCGAATGGTTGCATCTTCACTTGATCCTTGTCAGCTTTGAGTATATTGTGACACACTAAGGTGTCTGTAAACTAACAATATCCCTAGGATTTATCTAAAGACAAAAATGTAAAACAGTTGTGTAGTGGTAATCCTGTTACTGTTGGACATGATACATGAATCAAGTGAGGGTATTTGGTATTGTAAACTAGTTAAATATTTATTCCTAGGGCCCTGGTGGCGCAGCGGGTTAAAGCACAGCACTAAGAATCAAAAGCTACTTCAGCATGAGTTCAATTCCCGCCCGCCCCGGAGGTGACCACATGGCATGGCAGACCTCTCCTGACCCACCCGCTGCTCCCCTCAGCAGTGTACTTCGTTGATCTGCCTGTTCTGCTCCCCACTCTGTCTCTGGTGAAGCCTCTCACCCTCTGCATCTCTGGCCTGTACCCCAGTTCTGTATGAATAAATAAATCTTAAAAAAAAAATATTTATTCCTAGTAAACTTAACTCCCAAAAAGAATCAGCAGCATTAATACCAACAATGTAGGTACAAATAAAAAACAAAACTGTCTATACAAATATCCACTCCTAACAACACTTTTATCATTCATATAATGAAGTAAAACCATGAAAATCTAATCAGATTTGACAGGCAACCACAAACTTCAAATATTAAGACCAAATAAAATAAATTCAACCTTAATAACAAAAATGTTCATCCTAAAGCCATACTCTGTTAACATGAGTGGTGGGTGAGTTTATTTTCACTGAAAAATCCAAACATCTTGAACAAGACAAGCTCTAAAGAGCAATGTCATGATGAAAACTGCTAAGATTCCTAACCAATTCATTTCTTCTTCATTTGACTGTTGCAGTATCATATTTCAGCCATCCTACCTAAAAACAAAACATACTGATCACAGAACGAAACCTGTCATTGAATATGTATAAAATGAAGATTAAAAAACAAATAAACACTCAACCAGAGCTTTTTCAAAACTGTTTGATAACTTCTAATAAG